GTGACGCGGCTCAAATAATGGTCTTTATCTCTATCTCACCCTTACTCTATTTATTGCTTATCTATGAACCTCCTCCTCCCCACCTATAAAAATCAAGCATAGCAATGGGGATGAGATATTAAATAACATCTCCACATGGCCATTTCCAAAGCATAATGCTCACTCCGTAAAAGGAGACAGTACTTCACGTGAGCATATCTTATGTATTTAAAGGGAATAACATGTCCATCATTATGTGGTAAATTTAACACTGTTTAATAACATTTCTATATGTTTCTCCATTTTGTATCGTTTCGTTGTTTCTATATAATATAACAAAAAACGATAAACATATAAACAGATTATTTGCAAGGCTAGTAATATAATTATATGCTACAAGCGACTGACGGATAATTTCAGACGGGTTACATTAATAGACTAGCTATATGTTTGTTCTAAGATAACAGTATGGTGAACATAACATACACATTTAAAAAAAGACAAAAAACAAACAAAACTTAACTGCATCTTTTATTCGGGAAAGTTGTTTTCCAAACTAAGTGTTAGTTGTTTGTTATGAATAAAATTTCGTTTTTATATCAGTTTTTATATCAGTTTCTCTACTTGTTATACGGTTTGTAAGCGAACAGCATAGATCCTGATTAGACTGCGCGGATGCGCAGGCTGGTCTGGATCCATGCTGGTCGCAAACCCATTATGTTGGTTGTCGTATGAAATAAAAGTTACATTGTTGAATAGTTATAGACTCAGATATTTTAATATATCTGACTCAAACATACATTTGCACATTTTCGGCCTTTTACGTCAACTTTCGGGTAAAGACCTCCACCACAATAGTATGAATACAAAGAAGGATTAAGTCTAATTTACGCTAAAAACCCTAAATATGTAAACATATATAAGTAAATGCTGGGAGTTGTTGTTCAAGCCTTTTCTATTATATCGTTAAAGATAAAAAGGAAAAAATAAACTTTTAGTAGTATTGTACTTATAATATATTTATTAATACATTGTACAGTATATATCTTTGTAGAACCAAAACTATTAAAGTGTACTTATCATATTTGTAACGGTTACTCAGTTGACGGCAGGTTTATGGCCGCCAATCTATAAACATTCCGTATTTGTCGCCGTTCAGGATTAGTCGGCGACATTTACACTTAACAATATTTGACCATTTTTCCGCACACCGCCCGTCCTAAATCAATCGAAATTGAGATTTTAATACCACGTGATATAAAAAATGAACGTTTTTTTTTGTCTGGTTACCTTTATATAAATGTGAAATGCCATCTCCATGCACAATTGTGTACAGGTGCCGTTATATGTCGCACTTGCCGCTAGATGTCGCGCTATTGTCGCTAAATGTCGCAACCGCCCCTAAATTTACGGTAAATATTTTGCCGTAAAATGTCGCAATGATGAAGTTTTCGTATGTATGTGTATGTAAACCGTAACTGTTATGTCACTTACTGTTGAGTTTATAGACGCAGAGTTATCCTTTATTTTTTCATGAAATGTGAAATATGCTGCGTTTGTTTTTAAATTACGTTTACTGTATGTCATTAAAAGTGTCTCGTCGATGCACCTATCGCATTGATTACTTTTGCAGTAAAATTTCCAAATTATTTGCTCATTTGTACATACTGACCTGTTCATTTGTGATCTTCCTTGTCATATTTGATTACCAAATTATAATGGATTGTTACAGACATAGAACACTGTCTAACATTTTTCATATGAAATCGTTAGACTCGGTTTAGTGGACAGCAATGCTTAAAGAATCGTAGACAAACGTCAGCAATACTGTTTGCGCTTACCAATATGCTGAGTGCTCGTACGAACAAATTCGTTTTTATAAAAAGATGGCAAGTGTTTGATACTTTTATTTCAAAGTTTATAATTCATTAATGTTGTTACATGTCAGGATAATCTTTATGTGAAAATGTCCGATTTGCCCTATATCGCAATGCATGTTTGTAAAAACTGAAGGTTATCGCGTAAGTTCATAATTTCAACATAATTTCTTATTTAGGTAACAATTTACATTGAACTGAGGGACAGATTGTTATAATAAACTGACGTGTAAGTTTTGCTTTCTTTTTCTGTGATTTGTTTTTGTTATTTTTTGGGTAAAATTTGATATATAGAGGATATTTGTTTCCATAAATACAGGATTTATTTTCAGCGAGTGGTATGAAAATAAATATTTCATGAGTGGCGGTAGCCACGAGTGAAATATGAAAATTTTCTTACCACAAGATGAAAAAAAAATCCTTTATTTATAAAAAAAAAAAACTTGAATTTTCTGAATATTATATACATTTTTCTTTTTGATATTACAATTTGAAAGATTTTCCCTGAAATTGTGAGTATTGGCTGAATTTAGAAAAAAGTAGTCCGACAAGACAGCAATGAAAATACGGAAAATATGTTTCACTGCAGTGAAAAAAAAAGTTTACATTGAAAATACGAAAAATGAAGTACGCATTTTACTTCATGAATATTTCTCAATATTCTCTTTAATTTTTCATTAATAAGTATAAACAGAAATATCATTGTTATTATTAAATACCCATTGTATATTCACCCAGAAGATTTGTTTAGTTATATGTGAATATGATATTGTACATATTATTTTTTTTTAGTTTGTTTGTTTTAGTTTTTAATAAAAAAGAATATTTTATTTTTCATGCAGAAATGAATACAATTATTGTTCCTGATCATATTAATAATTAAAGGGAAGTTAATGCTAAAATATTTGCTATTGAAAGTTTCATACGTTATTCCCCTTTATTTGTCACATTCATAAATTTCATTCAAACTGTTGTTTTCTTTTTGTAGATTCTATTGATTCAATTTGTCTCAAATATAAAACAAAATTTACTGTAGCTAAATTTGATAATGTTAGGTAAATATGGACACATTCTTGAGCATACACTCGTATATATGTATTCAAATGCTTTTTAAGTAATTTTACTGTCTCATTAAACAGTCTCATTATTTTTCAGTTACATACGTTCATGTCATGTGCCATTTATGTATTATATGTTGTATTTGTATAAATAATATGGTGATGAGCTTGTTATGCTTAAATCAAGTGATAAAATTTCTGTTCTCTTCTTTTTAATCAGATGGTGTGTTTCATAAAAAAGCATTGTAATTGGAACAAAAGATTTTGATAAAATGGTGGTTTTAAAAGGGGATAAATATGTACTACTGTTATTCCTTATAACACATGCAACTGAAACCTTGGCAGAAAAACGGCTCCTCCTCCATTCAGAAGCTGATATAGCTACAGAACTTATTCGACTACGGAGTGAGTTAGCAAACGTAACTCAACAACTTGGCACTGCACTTGCCGAAATTAAATCTTTGAAATCGACACAGTCAAGCACTAACTGTAAGCTTATTATTTATGTCGTAAATTTTATGACAAATGAACATATGAAAACAAGCAAATTCCGTAGTTTGTTACTCACTTTTAGTATTATGTAACTATGAGTAAAAATAGAATTTTAATCACTTTATTTGTTTGTTTGTTTGTTTTGGGTTTTACGTCACATCGACACAGTATAGGTCATATCGCGACGTTCCAGCTTTACTGGTGGAGGAAGACCTCATGTGCCCTTTCGAGCATTATTTCAGGCACGAACGAGCACCTGAGTAGAACCACCGACGTTCCGTGAGCTAGCTGGATAGCTTCCTCACATGAAAGAATCCAAGTCTCTGTCGTGATTCGAACCCACAGAGGTGAGGGGCTTATTCACTTAAAAATATTATTGAAAGATTATGTAATTTTATTTAACCATTTATTTAAAGTATGTTGCCGTAAAAATTACAATCTTTGGTTCCAGCACTCTTAAGTGTTGAATATTGAGTCTCGTTCAAGCCGTGAGGGCAGTTGCACGTTTTCATTATCCCTCATGTATTTACTGTATTTACATAATATTATTTATCAAATTAGAATGTGCATTAGATCTATATAAACATTAAGTAACTCATGTTTATTTGGCAAAGCATAGTGTGAGACATGTATGATTCAAATAAAGATCTCACAAAAAAGGTTAATGAAACTCTAATAACTACGGACGTGCGGACATTCTCACAATTGGGCTTAATTCATTTATATTGAACTTTATGTGGCATTTTCCCACATAAACCATCCAAAATGATCTCTTAAACCGACGGTTTGTTTCTTAAAAAAAAACAGAAAGAAACATTGAATATTTGCAAGGACGAAGGGACAACACCATATCAATCTTACCTTTACGAATGTATTGGTTTTGTTATTATAATTCCAGTACCACTCCTCAGTTTTCTTGATATTGATGAAAATACATGTATTAAAGTCACACACACTTACAAATACATGATATTAAAAATTATGGTGTTACCATCCGCTCTAGTTTCAATAATTGTTAACATTGTCATTTAAAAATTCAGTTTCATGTCTTTTTGTCAGTATTTAAAAAGACGCTTTTAGTCTATTGCGAATTTATCATGCCTTTTATTGATTGGCATTTTTAATTGTTTATTTATTGCATTGAAAAAAAAAATATTGGTATGATTATTTGTTGGCTTTCTAATTAACCTTTGCTTTTATCACAACATGTTATAGTGGTAGAAAGTCTGGAATTATGACAATTTTCTGACATGTGTCGTTGTTTATTATTGTAGTACATCCAGGGTCTATGTACATCCGATGGGGAAAGAAGACCTGTCCGAATAGCACAGCATGGTAGGAATATTTAAACTTCTATGAACTCTGCTTGAATTTCCTCAAATTTCTGGTTTTACTGATTATACCTCTACAGAACATTTTACGCTACCGATCTTCAAACAAGATTTTATGTGGACTTTTCCGAGAAAAGATCATGTCAATAGTATGCTTGATTTTGTTGTTTGTGGAACTGCTTTGTCCATCCTGAAAACTTTGTTAATTTATGGACAGGTAATAACCACATTTACATCTATTAAGCCTCAATTTATTCATACTTATGATTTCAGGATATACTGCTGGAAAACATTACAATGATAAAGGCAGTGCTTCGAATAACATTTGTCTACTCTCTGATCCAACATGGTTACACTATGTAGATGGTAATCAGTCATATAGGGCCATTGTTTATGGTACAGAAACTGACATTCCAACAAATCCTTTCTTCAAGTATGATATAGATCAACAAGACATGCCTTGTGCTGTATGCAGATCAGACAGGTCCACGACTCTTATGATACCAGCCCGTAAAAACTGCTACCCGGGATGGACATTAGAATATTATGGATACCTCGTTAGTGCTGCAGCTACCCACTATTACGGATATGAAAATGTTTGTTTAGACGGAGAGCCCGACTTTCTAGATCATGGTGCAAAAAGTGACGATGAGCATGTTTTCCATCTGGTTGAAGGTCACTGTGGATCACTTCCTTGTCCACCATACGTCGATGGGCGTGAATTCGCCTGTGTCGTATGCTCTAAATAGATTGTAAGATCTGTTTCAAACAATAAATGTATAACTAGTTTTCTATCGATTTTATACATCTAATTTAATTGTTTAATATATGTCTTGTAGTTTGTCAATATGTTCTTAGTAAGGTTGTTACCAACACGATAGAAAAAAGTGATATCTACGATACATATACCTTTATCATTACTAAGTGCTTCCTTTTCTGAAGTTATAAACTTACACATTTTATACCACGGAATGTACCGTATGGTTTTAAAGCTAAACTATTCTTGTGCTTTAAATGAGAATTCTATAGGTACCGAACCGAGATTACAGTTCGCTTCTTTTGTTTCTTTGTCACACCAGATAGCGGCAGATGAGAAATTTAGAAAGTGATTATATAATCAAGAGCGCGTTCTTTTAACTTTCCAATTCTATTTCTCGTATTTTGTTTTACGTTCAGGTAAACAGATATGTAGCTCATTATAGAATGTGGTATTTAATGTAGGTTTATAGGTAAGTTATTCTTATTGAAACTAATATGGTCATTATTTCTTTTATTACGTTTAGAACATTATCCGATTTAGATTGGCGTAATTATTAACTAGACGTAGAATATCGGATTAATATTATAAGGTCCTTTGTCATTTTGTATTAAGCAGCAAATTATCAAATGATATGTTGTATACGTTATTTGATTATATATACATGCACCTAATTTTAACAAAACTGAATAACTTAACATGAAGTCTTGTGTTATAAAGGTAACAAAATGTATACAAAATAGTATTTTGACTTCCATACAAAATACTAATTTACTATAATTATACCATGTAACAACATAACAAAATCAGCAAAAGTTAGTTTATGTATATGACAAATGAGAATGGTTTGGAATCTGTAACAATATACCAAAACTAAAAAAGTTTACGATTAATGAAAATCATAGCATTTCTGATGCATAATGGGCCTTTAACTTTTCTGAAAAATAAAATCAAATCGCCGCAGTGTCATGATTTCAGATACCTAATAACAATCAATGTATTAAACGGTTAAAATAAAATATGATTCCAAAAGGAAAAGGTTAATAAAATAATCACTGCGCATGGATTTATTTTATTTATACTAATCTTGTACAAATCTTGTTGTTCATTTTGTTTCAATGTACGCAGATGATGACCATGTTAAGGCTAAATTATTCGGGACAATGCTATAAAATTTAAAAATATACTATGCTCACTTTGGTTAAAACACCTTTATTGAGATTCTATTGAAATCTAGGAATTCTTTTAGAATATGTCTAATCTGAATAAAAGAATGCACAAACTATGATGAGGAAGCTGCATTCCATGTTACTGGTCAAGTTATTATGGTTCTTTCTTTATAGTTCTTTCTTAATGAAAACAACTTTTTTTAATGGGACTATGTACTTATACTGTCTTTACATATAGAGAACAGAGCTTGAAACGTAACATATATTCTCTTTGACCATATTTCTTTTTATGATATATTGTATGATTTCTTTCGAGAATGATTGTCATATGAATGGAACTTAGAATGTAATTCTGCTCTAAGAGTTTATGTATACTCTTTCTGGGATCATACATGCCAATCTTATTATGGTTGAGGATGGAATACCGATAAAATAATGTGGTAAATAACTAGGTAATTGGGACGCTTACAGGTTGCCTAACATTTCAATTGAACTATAATAAGTAATGTAAGTTAATGTAAGATGATGTAAGTTTTTGTAAGTTGAAGTTAAAGCAATGAACATTCACTGTTATCTTACCACAGACATATTTCAATGTTTCATATAAATAAGGCAAATAACAGAGAAAAAAATACTACTAAGATACCTGAGATGCAATCTAATAGACAGAAGATATATAAATAACAAATCGTTTACAATTACATTTAGCTGTATACAGCAGCTGGTCATTGGCGTTTATCACTCAAAATATTATTATCCCGACAATACTTTCCGATTGTTTTCCATTTGTCTCAGTGTTTTTTGTTTTGGAAAAGTTGTTCCGGTTAGGTGGTTTCCTGCTTACATTTGTTAGTGCATGATTGAACGGGAAACCAGTCCATGTTTCCGCTGCAATCGTGTAAATCGCAACTTTTCGGCCCTTTCCGTCACTCTTCGAATTAATGATAAAAGCCGAGGCAGTTCCGATTGCAATTGTGACAATTCGGGCGATTCCGTCATACTGCGGAATCAGACGAAGTGATATTACGGAAATCTAAGCTATTTTAGTTACTTCGGTAATCCCAGTTTGTTTATATAAATAGGATTTCTATATTACTTGATTTATCGGAATAGAAGGAAGAAATAAATTATAAACGAAATTTTTCCGTTTCAATTCTTTTTCAAGACGCAAAAGTTAGTTTCTTTTAGAATTGGTTTTTGTCTTTATTAGTTTTATACAATAGAGAATGGTTACTGTAGTAGTATTCCGTCTCCAAAGGGTGGTCCTGCTTACCAAAAGATCGTGACCGAATCACACAGATTATTAGTGCATGATCGAGTTATATTTAGATCTTAGTCTTTAGTAGAGTTTAAACGTCTTGGTGAGGTAAAATCTAAAAATAGCCCATGCATATAATTAAGGTTACCTCGTGCTGATCTACAGATAGCGCATCCTGTGTTGTCATCATAAATATTTTAGGTGTAACATAGTTGATACATGCTTATTAATTGGTACCACGTAACGAAGTCTTTTAGTGCATATACTTGTCTATAAAGCTGCTATATAAATGAAATTAGCAACTGCCAAAACGAATGACTCTCTCTGCGAAAAATGTGGAAATAAAATGTGCACACTTGTTTCCCTTCAGTATGATAGATAGATCTCCACGTTGGAGAGCCAATGTTAGTATTTTTACGATTGGTTATTTTCTTTATTAGTTTTATACAATAGAGAAAAGATTTCAAATCGTTTTGGACAAACAATATTCGTTTTTACAAAAAAAAAATGTTACTGTTATCGCCAGCATGTTCCTGTTCAGTTATAATCAGTGGACTTCTTGTCCTTCTTTTGTCCAAATTTGCATGCATAACACTGGTGCTCAAACAAATGGGCACAAGTGCTTGTCCAGTCTTGGGCTTACCCTACCTATCCCTTTAAAAGTGAAACTTTATGGCTTGCAGCCAGGGCTGCAAGCCATTTGTTTTGGAAAAATTGCTCCGGTTAGGTGGTTCCTGCTTACATTTGTTAGTGCATGATTGAACGGGAAACCAATCTATGTTTCCGCTGCAATCGTGTAAATCACAAATTTTCGGCCCTTTCCGTCACGCTTCTGATTATTGATAAAAGCCGAGGCAGTTCCGATTGCAATCGTGACAATTCGGGCGATTCCGTCTTACTGCGGAATCAGACAAAGTAATATTACGGAAATCTAAGCTATTTTAGTTACTTCGGTAATCCCAGTTTGTTTATATAAATAGGATTTCTTTTTTTACTTGATTTATCGGTTTAAAGCGTAAGTAGAAGGAAGAAATAAATTATAAACGAAATTGTTTCGTTTCAATTCTTTTTCAAGACGCAAAAGTTAGTTTCTTTTATAATTGGTTTTTGTATTTTCTGATCGCAGATCAGTAAATACATAGCTAACATCCACGATCTAACACAAAATTTCCTAACAGACCTAACAACGCAAAGTAGTTCTCACTCAAAACTGCTTATAAACCAGCAATTTAAAAGAAAGAACAATTTTTTCTTACAAGTGTCCAACAAATTACTACACATTCAAACTTTAAAAGTAGCGTTGGCTAATAGAATTGTCCATAAATGCACACTCACAAATTACGCGGATGAATATGATTTTAATCAATGAATATGCTATTTTTAGCGATGTCGATTATCGAATACTACACAAATAAATCTGAATGCCGAGTAGTTGAATATATAGTTTCTACATGTTGGACTGTTTGGGCGAGAAGATTTTTGCTAAATTATTTACTTCAATTTTAAGCAACAGGTTTACCCTGAACAAAATACCTCGAAATTACGCAATGGAAATTCTAAATTTAGAATGACTTGATTTTATTCAGCCTGTGCTGCTTTAAAAACCCGAAATGCAATGGAAATTCTGAATTTAGAATGACTTGATTTTATTCAGCCATTGTTTTTATAACTTCCCGTGGTGCAGTGGTAACGCGCTCGTTTCGTGTGTGAGAGGTCTGGAGTTCAAATCCCAGTTGAGACAACATTTTTTTAAATTCTTTTTTTAGTGTTTTTGTTAAGGAAATAGCCACGATATGCAAGGATAAAGTGTGGCTATCATAAAAAATGAACATAAATGAATTTTTGATGCAACTCTAGTTATGCAAAATTCCGTATGTATCAAACTCTGGTGCCCTGCAAGATGAATTAAAGTACATAACAAGAAAAGCATTGATGCAAAGCATCAAAGGGCGTCCAAGCAAGAAATGCAGCAGGTGAAGATGAACTAGTAGATATATGATTATAAACTTTTCAATGGTTAATTGGTTTTTACCAGAATTGTGTCGCAGTCCACTCTTGACGATATGGAAAGGTGCTGCTAATAGGTTCTGGGCTTGAGGGTCGCTATAAAAATACAGAAATACGCTCTCAGAAAATATCTATTATGAATGAATACGAAGTCTGGCTCGCGCCATGAAAATCTTCAGTAGGAGTGCAAAGACAAACTAATGACAAATGACACAAAATCATGAATGGCAAAATGTAGAATAACAAGTATGGGATCAATACAGACATTCATATTTACCTATAAAAATACAGAAATACGCTCTCAGAAAATATTTATTATGAATGAATACGAAGTCTGGCTCGCGCCATGAAAATCTTCAGTAGGAGTGCGCATGCGTGAAGGTACTTTTTTGCGGAAATAGAATATTTAAGATTGAGGCCCGTACCAATGGTTAGTACATACTTGTTAATAAATGAATGAATGAAGAAATGAATGAATGAGTAAATGAATAAAAAGGATGAATGTATGGAATATAGGAAAAGGACACAAATATAGGACTTCACATAATCTACGGTGTA